TTTAACATGGCTCTACACAAAGAGAATGTAATTCACTGAAATTTATTCATGTGTCGTTCGAATGCAATTATTTTTTTTTTCTTGGCAGAAATTCTAGAAATTTTTTTTTTTGTGGAGAAAATCGTTTCTTTGTCAGGTTTTGATATTTGTATATAAAAAATGTACATTCCTTTTTTTGGGAAATATGTTTGGAATGTAATTTTCGGAATTTGGTAGGGCAATTGGAAGCCATGTAAAATAATAAAAAAACACAAATGCTTTTTAATTTTAATAAATATGTAGGTACCGTAAACTTTTGGGAGAATAAAACTCATAGCTTGAAAGATATAACTTATCAAAGGAAATAAATCAGTGGTTTTGTGAAAAAGTGGTTTTGTAAACATAACGATTTAAGCCATGTGCTGTTTTTGTTAATTTTTTTTGTCAATTCCACGAATTTCTGTAAGGAAGTCCTTGGGTTACCACCAGGTGTTACCCTACAACAGCATAGTGTGCGGTAAGGTTCCTGTAGACTTAAAACCCGTGCTGCTGGAAAAAACGATACCCTCAAGAAAAAATTAAACCCCATAAGTAATGCTTACAAAATCATTTGAAATATCAGAGCTCTTTTTCTAATTTTCGAATGAAATTTATTTAACAAGTGTATTTATTTTCTATATAATGGTAAATAAATAAATAAAAAGAATTGAATTTACCTAGTTTGAAAAATGTTTTTATATACTGTATGTTGAGCCTTGAAAAATAAATCTTTAAAAAATCCACGTTCATTTGATGCTTGAAAGGGAAATCTTAAAAAAAAATCCCTGAAAAAAATTTATTTTCAAAATCCGCGACCGGTTGATCCTTGAAAAATATTTTTTAAAAAATCCACGTTCTGTTGGTCCTTGAAAAAAATATCCTTTAAAAAAATCGCGTTCGGTTGGACCTTAAAAAATATTTTCCAGAAAATTTACGCTCCTTGAAAAAATATTCCCTATAAAACAACATTGTGTCGAAAAAAATATTCTTAAAAGAAATTCACGTTCTCTTGCTCCCAGAAAAAAAATTTCTATCAAAATTCCACATTCTGTAGATCCTTGAAAAAAAATCATTTAATCCGTGGAAAAGATTTCGGTTTGAAAAAATATTTTTAAATCCGCATTCTGTTGATCCTTGACAAAATGATGTTTAAAATATCCGCGTTCTGTTTGTTCTTAAAGAATATATTTCCCAAAAAATCCACGTTCAAAAAAAGATATTTTGCAGATCCTTGAAAAAATATTCTTTAAATAGAAGAACATTTTTATGCCAAGAAATTGTCGATTTTCTAAAATTCTTTTTCAAGATCTGGATTTTCAAAGAATGTTCTTCCAAAGACTAAGACTATTAGTTGACATCATCCAGCTCAAAAATTGTTGATTTTTTCAACACATCCTGGCAAAAACTTTGAAATTTGAGAACAAAATGCATATTTGTTTTTTGGTTTTTAAATAATTTTCAAGGGTTTATTGTCAAGAAACCCTTTATTTTGAAACAAATCACGTTCATTTTGCAGGAATATTTTAAAAGACTTCCTTGTGAAATATCTCATATTTTCCAAAATATACCTTAAGGATTTTTTCAAGAAGTTTCATAACGACATCCCGACAAAACAATCTTGGATTTTTTGGGATTTTTTTTAAGAACTTCGTGACAGAAGAAAATTATTTTTCAAGATGTATATGAAGTTCTGCCAAGAAATTTTCTGGGAGATTTTCCTGGATTTTAAGGATATAATGAAAAGAAAACGTTGGATTTATAAATATTTTAAATTAAATTAAATTTGAAGTTTTAAGGGCTTTACGTCAACAAAATCTCAACAAAATCTCCCACATAAAATCTCAAAATTTTCAAGGAAAATAATGTACTGCACAGAAAGAGGAAAGATAATCCGATTTTGCTCCAACTTTTGAAATCCTAATATTTGCATCAGTGCCAGGTCAGGTGCGAAAATGGACAATATAGGTCTACTCCATCAAGTACCTCCCCGACAAAGGGTTAATTATAACTCTTATAAAATGTGATTTAAGGGTTCGATTGTCTTTAAATTACACAGATCAAAATATTTTTATTAACATCCGATTCCATTTCGATTTTGACACATCTCAATATATTTATCAACACAAGATCTGCAATAAAGATGGTAAAGATCGGACACTCCTTCTGGCATCTTCCCCAGAAAGCGTCAAAGTTTTCAACAACCAAAACGACTATAAAATCCGAAATAAGCATCCGGTTCTTTTTATGTGTCTTGTTTTAGTTTTTTTCCAGTAAAATCTGAATTTTTTTAAGAACTTCCGACAAAATTCTTGGATTTTAAGAGAATCGTCGGTTGTTCTAGTTTTTTCCCAATTTATTTATTTTTTTTACTTTATACTACAAAATATTTTCTGAATTTTTAAAGGACTTAACGTTATATTTTTTCCTTCCAAGATATCCTGGATTTGCAGGGAAATTTTGCAGGGAAATCTTTTGGGCAAGGACTTCGAGCAACAAATCGTTGAATTATGAAAAAAAAAAACTTTTCATGCAAAGAATAGCAAATTTTCGAAGTTTTGTTTTCAGGATATTTGGGTCTAGAAGCGGATATTTCAAGATATTTGTTTCTTCATATCTAGGAACGGTGATTTCCTTGATCTTTTTTTTTAAATCTTCAAGTCTGGAAATTTGAAATTTTGATTAAGGATTCTTCAAGTTTTTTTTTTTCAACTTGCTGTTGTTTTTTTTTTTTTAATTAAAAAATATTTTTTAAGAAAATCCTCGGACTTGTCAATATTTTTTAAAAAATCTTACATTTTCAAATATTGATCGTGGATTCTTAAAGAATTTTTGCAAGGACTTCGGATTTATCTTTAAAAATTTTCTGCCAAAAAAAATTTTAAAGAAGGCCGTGGATTTTTGTTTTCAAAGGTTCCATTCAAAGTAATTAATGATTTTCATGTTTTTTTAAAGGTATCATATTGAGAAAACGTTGAATTTTCAAAGGTTTTTTCAGGTAAAAATTTGTATTTTTTAAGGATTTTATGCCGTAGATTTTCGATTTAAGATTTTAACCACATACTATAAAAAATTTTTGGTTTTTCAAATTTTTAGGGATTATAGACATTTTAAAAATATTTACATTTTTTTCGAGTTATTTAAAACTTTTCAAGCACTTCACGTTAGAAATTCTTGGGCTGTTAGAATTTTTGGGACTTCAATTGAAGAAATCGTGGATTTTTAAATTTTTAAGGAACTTTTGTTAATAAATCTCGGGCTATGAAATTTTCAGGGAAATTAAAATGATTTCTGCCATTATTAAAAAATCTGTGATTATTAAATTATTCAGAAAAAAATCCCACAATTCTATGCTTGGAGCTCATTTTTTAAAAAAATTATAATAAATCTTAATAATTAAAGATTTTTGGCACCAGGTTTTTGATCAATTTTCTTTGAAATATTCTTGTTCTCAAAAAATAATTAGGAAGATCCTCGATTTCTTGGAAAATGTTTTTGAATTTTGATCGCAAATTTTTGGTCAGGAGGTTCTTAAAAAATATTTTTACAAAATCCACGATTTTTGGTCATTAGGCTCTTAGGAAGTATTTGAAAAATTCAATTTTTGAAGATTTTTTTTTGAATACTATTTTTACTTCACATTATTTCAAGAAATCCTGGATTTTTATGTTTTGAAGAACCTCTTGTTAATAAGCCTTGGCCTTTGAAGAAAATATTTTTTTTAGGCATTTGAAGGATTTTCTGGCCGAAAATTTTGTTCAGGACTTTCTGGCAAAAAAAATTAATTTTCCTATTTTTTTGACAAATATTGAATACTTTTATTTTATTGAATATTCTCTGCTTTATGCAAATAATACGAAATGTATTTTTAGGTTGCATGTGTCTGATATAAATATAAGCATGGTACAATAAGGAGATAGAACAGCTTCGTAAAACTACCGAAATGCAGCCCTAAGGCTGCAAATACATAAAAAGCTTGAAGTCATGGCTAGGCATATTAATGTCAAATTATAATTAAAAACGATGTCACAAAATAGGCCGGGCCATGACTTCAAGCTTCTTATGTACTTAGCCCTTAAGGCTTCCTGTCAGACTCATTCAAAATTATGTACAAGTTGTTTTAATTTTTTTCATATTTTTCCTCATTTTTAAAGTGGTTAAATGGCGCGAAAATGTATGGAATGTCTGGGCTTTCTCTCAAAAATATGATCCAAGCTATTTAATCTTTCAATTTAATGGCTAAAATGGTTGAAAGCTTTAATGCGCGAGCCACAATGTACGTGTCTGCCAATCATTGGTTTTGAAAATATTTTGTTTTCATTTTTTAAAACAGTAAATACATACACAAAATTGGCAGAAGTCGGGCACACTTAGAAAAAAAAATGTAATCAGCTGGTAGCCCTACCTTACCTTTTTATTGTACCATGCATATAAGTATATACATTACCATATAACGAGGGCATTTATAGGTATCGGACTCTCTGCTAGACAAATCGAACTTTCAAACTTGTAAATTTTCAAAATTCTTCTAGCATTTCATAAATGCAAAACCTTATGCTGAATATTGTTTACACCGAAAATCTGATAGCTAAAAAAACAAAACCCATGTTTCGAATTCATATAATTCCTGCAATTTAACAAAATCATTCTAAGTTTTAAGAACTTCAAAAATTAAATACCTCATAATTAACATGAAATGCGTTTATTTGGTTAAATATCAAGACAAATTAATTGTCTTCTAAGTGAATTTAATACTCCCAGACAACGGCAAAAAAATCACATTTAATGACACTCCAAACCCCCATCCTTGCGTATGATTAATATTTAATGCACCATTAATAACACTCATACGCCATGAAATGATGATGAAGTACAACAGCGGTGATTAATGGCATTAAACCTTTCCAAGTCATACTTACCCATACAAATGAAACATTTTGTGCCTCAAGAAAATCTCTTCCAGTAGGCTGTGATTAGAAGGAAATGTGAAAAATTCATTGTTTTTCTTGATTTTTTTTTTTGGCAATGGCATATTTCAATTCATTTATTTAAAATTCATTGCGCACAAAGCTTTAAGACAAAGCTTAAGAAACAATGATGACGATGAGACGAGAACTCTTAAAAGTGTAAAGAAAGTGAAAAAGAGGGAACACATAAAAACATCATTAATTAAGAGAGAGGGAGAGAGAGCGAGAGAGAAAAAATATGAAGGAACAACCAAAAAAAAAAAAATGTGAAACGAAAAACCAGAAAAAATAACAACAAATCGCACAGCATCCATCATCGACCAGAGTCACTGTCACGGCGAACTACCCAGCGGAAAAGCAAAGCCAGCGCGTGAAATCCCTTGCAATCGACATTTGGTTCAATGGCAAATATTTTTTTGACTGTTTGCTTGTTGGATCGAATGATCGGATGGTTGGCTGGTTGGTTGGCTGGTCGGTTGGATTGGTGGTTGCCGCTGAATGCCATCAATCAAACAAAGCAAAATTCAACAATATGTCAATCGCGCAAGAAATACTGATGCTTTTGCTACCGCAGCTTATTACACAGCTTAGCAGGAAAAAGGGTACTAATGTGTGTTTTTGCCGGAGAGCGGGAGACCCGGCTATTGTTCTGGGCCAATTGTGGGTTGTGTAAGCATGAAGTTCATTTGTTGGGTTGATTCGTTGGCTTCCAGTTGTTGTTTTAGCTGCCACCAGTTGGTGGTAATGACACTGGTGTTGGTAAGTGATGTTCTTCCAGCAGCCAAATGTTTTTTTACTCCGCTATTTACCAACCAAACCATGGCCAAAAACAACAATAAACTACATTGTCATCGAATCATTTGCGATTATTCATTTTTCTGTTTTCTCTTTCAATTTTCTCCAGCTGCTGTCTTTAAAAGGATTCTATTGCTATGTTTGTTGTTTTTGTTGTTTTTTGTTTGTTTTAATTTCATGTTTGCCATCGTGATGAGGTTTTCGTTCGTTCTTTCTTCATTCATTATTGTTTCATTCTGCTTGTGACTTTTTCTGTTGTCATTTTCGGTTTTGTTTTTGTTTGCGGGGTTTTAGAGAAAAGTCTTTAGCAGGGCAATATAGGAACCCGCTGTGCTTATAATCTGCGGGAAAAAGAAGAGAAAAGGAAAGAATGGTAATGAAAATAAGCGATAGGTAAAAAATAAAAAAAAAAAAAAAATAATGAGGGTTGACATTGCATCAAGAAATGGGATACCGGAGCGAAAAAAGGCTTAGTTGGAGGGTGTTTAGCTCTTATTTAGCTCTTATTTTTTTTAAGAGAAACAAAAAAATGTCCTATTCCCTCAGAATTTGAACAAAAACAAAATCGATTAAAAAATGTTTAAATATGCGGTTGCTACATTAAAATCACTAAATCGAAAAATATTTTTTTTCATTTAAATTTATTGAATCAAAAATTCAATCTGAATTAGAAAATAAATATGACGAAGACTATGATCCTTTACACACATATATATATAAAGGCGATTTTGGTCAGTAGGTCTTTATAAAATATTTTATTAAATATTCAATTCTCTGAGACCAGATTTTTTTAAATATCTATATTCGACAAAAAAAAATAAAAATTAAAAAATTCCAGTACTTTCCAGAAACTCATTTTATATAAAAAAATTAACATTTTTGGATAATAGGTCCTTGGAAAAATAAAAAATAAATGTTAAAATCTCCTTTGAATAGCTGGCATTTCTGCGACAATTATTTTTAATAATCTTCGAATGTTTATCGGAATGTCATGGAGAGATCTTCAAGAATCTTTTCAAATAGTCAGTGGAAAATTGAATCATATCCGGGTCAATAAGATTTATGATAATAAGAAAATGCTATCTTTTGAAGAAATGGGCCTATATTTCCATTGACTTGAATTTGACAAGATATTTGAGTTTGAGGGTACTCCAGTCGCACAAAAAATACTTTGGAAAAAACCCTTTAAAGTAGTTACACGTTTTTAAAGTTAACGTCCAGATCATGCCACATCAAAATATCGTATGTCTCGTAAAAAACTGAAGGAAGCATTATCTTAAGTTAAATCTTCCGACATTATAAGTCTTCCTAGCGAAAAATCGTATTTTTAATTTTGAATTTAAGGACCTTCGGCTCAAAAAAAAATATATATATGAATGTACAAATTAGGAATAGCAGATTTTTTAACTAAGCATCATGGACTTTTGTCAATCCTTAAAATATTTTTATAATTTTTTCAAGGACATATATATTTACAGGTTGAGATGAAAAAACGGCAATAAACTTCAGACTGCTGTCATTTCAAAGCCACTCGTCCGACACCTGTAAAATTATTCCAGTGACAGCCCACTATATTGTTTACAGGCGTAAACAATATATTGTTTACAAGCGTACAAAAGCGTTTTGGTGAGAATTTTCCAGAAAAAAAAGTTATTCGTGATGGAATTCAAGCGTGATAGTGTGATTTCTTTATATTTGGCTGGAAAATCACAAGTGGCTATCGTTATAGCACTCCAGCATATAAATCTGAATAAATCTTTTGTGTCTCGTACCATCGCTCGTTACCGTGATACTGGTAGTGTAGCCCGAAAGTAAAGAAGCGACTTGACCGAAGTCCGTGTTGCATTGGCCGAAAAATGGCTCGTGAGCTGAACATATCGCAATATTCCATTCGGCAAATATTGAAAAATGAGCTCGGAGTAAAGAAAGTAAACAAAGCTCCGCAAAGTGCATGAACTTACACCGCAACAGAAAGAAAAAAAAAATCAAAAAAGGCTTAAGAGTTGCTGCGCTTGGCCGAAAGTGTTGAACTGCCGCATTTGGTTTTCTCCGATGAGAAAACATTCGTTGTCCAGCAGTTTGTAAACAAACAAAATGATCGTGTTTACTTGCTAAAGAGGTCAGCTGAAAATGTGCACCTTCGGTTGGCCACCAGAACTCAAGCGCCGGCCATGGTGAGGGACCGTGGTATCACAATAAATGGCGAATATTATCGCGAAAATATTCTGGAGGGTGAATTATAGCCTTGGGCACGCAAACATTTTGGTCGCAGACCTTGGACATTCCAATAGGACTCAGCACTATCGCACTCAGCACGTGCCATCCAAGAATGTTTATAAATGAAGTTTCTCGCTTCATTTCTAGCGCACAATGGCCACCAAAATCTCCGGATACCAATCCGTTGGCCTATTGTGGCTTTAGTATTTTGGAAAGCAAGGTTAACACAAAAAAATACCAAAGTGTCGATCATCTGAAGCAAGCGCTTCGCCAGGAATGGGCCAAAATACCGCATAGCAACATTAGGGCAGCGTGTGATGGTTTCATTGGCCGTTTGAACGCCATAATTCATGCCAAAGGAGACCAATTCGAACAAGTCTAAACTTATTCTAAAATTTGATGCTATTTCCGATATTTTTTGCTTTCATTCAATAAATTAAAAAAGAAAATAAAAAAAAACATATTTTGTTTTTGCAGTTTTTTTATCTCACCCTGTATAGCAAAGTATATACATTCTCATATATCAAAGTAGAAGATGTTAGTTAGACCGCTCATTAGTCAAGAACTGCTGGACTGATTTTCACAATTCTCATCAATTTGTAATGGTCGCTTGCCAGAAAAGGATAACATCTGAGAAAATCGCTTGTAAATATGCGAATAAAAAAGTGAATATGTTTTGTTACGTTTTTTTTTAATTTTAGTCATATTTTTAATCGCATGCGATTTTTTCAATTTGACTTAGAATTTTTAAACTGTACATTTTTCAAAGTTTTTCACACTATGTGGTGAAGGTATTATATACAGGTCGCAATTATCGTCCGATCCTCATTTAGGATTTAAAAGGGACGAAATTTTGGGGTTAAAAGGGACAAACAAACCAAAAAAAAAAAAAAATTTCCTGATATTGTCGTGTCGGTCGCTCTACACGAGGAGAGAGTTAGTTACAGGGAAGAAGTCGAACATTTTGGATAACCATTGGATTATATATAGCTGTAAAATTGAATACGACTTTAATGATTTTGTTTCGAATACATAACAACACGGCGGAATGCCAACATAAGGGTAACATCTGGGCTCTATGACATTATTTCAAAATCGAAATCGTCCAAAATGAATTTGGGCATAAGGGGGCTTTCAAAATAATGTGGTGTTGTAGGCCCCACATGACTGTAGCCATATTTCATTACATTGTCATCAGAAAAAAATTAATGTTGTTCCATTGACGTTGAATTTTTCTTTCAGGGTTCAAAAAATACTCATCAACGATTTTAATCCGCACACATTTTTCCGTCTCCGTTTTTTTCGAAAATCACACCCTCTTATGTTAGAGGTGTGAAAGTATTAAATTTCAATTAAAACACTTTTCAACATTTGTGGGCCTGCAATGCCTAAACTGCCTTTGAAAATACTGGACTTAATGCCCGTTTCTTTTCCTTTGTTATCATTGGACTTATTTCTAAGGAAAAAACTGCCCCAATACTACAATTTAAATACCCTTTTTTCAAATTTTAACAAAGAGCAATTATTATTATTTTTTTTATAATTAACCCCCCCCCCCTGCCATAGTAAACCACCCGCTGATTGTAATGTTAAACCGTCAAAAATGACACGTTCTGTGAAATGACCCCTTTGAAAAACACTTGTTTATGAGGTACCCCTTTGTGCTCTTGAAATCACATTTAAGTGTTAGGTACTTAAGGTCACTTTATTTACTTTGGCTTAGTGGAGAAAGGCCGCATAAAAAAATGAACTCCCCTGGTGTTGTTGTTCTTGTTGTTGTCATCAACGAGAAAATCCGACCGTCATTTAGTTGTGAGGCATTATTTATGTTTCCTGTTTTATAAGTGAAACATAATTTACCTTCCGTCAACAAGGCTTAGAGAAACGAGAGAGAGAGAGAGAAAGAGGGTGAGAGAAAAACGAGAGATGACGTTAAACACACAGAGGCAAACAAACTGTCCCTCGTGTGGCAAAGGCCACCGGCTAGGCCTTGAAATAAAGTAACTAACCAACCAGGTAAACAATGACTTTGGATGGTGAAACACACGTGCCCTCTCTCTCTCTCCCTCTCCCTCTCCCTCTCTTCTATCCCCCTCCTTCCTCCTCATACATTGCAATTTATCAGCAATGTCCATGGCGGCAGCAGCAGCCATGTAGCCTCTACTGCCTTCACCATCAACGACGTGGTCTTAGTTGTCGTCCTCGTCTCATCCTCTTCGCCATCATCATTATCTTCCTAGTCAACCTGTGTAAATATATTCCAAGTGTCTATTGACATGCCAGCGAACATAAATCTTAACCGAGTTAGAAAGAGTGCAGAAGAATGTGGAATGTTTGCCGAAGAATATTCCATTACCTTATCTTACGTTTTTCCATTACACATTCTAGTCCACCATAGATGTTGTTGTTTCTTTTCCCCTCTATCGTTTTTGTTAGTGTTTTTCTTTTCATTCTTACTTACCGAACTGAAGGCCGGCAATGATGGCGTAAAAAATGGCACAGAAATTGTTGTTGCCTTCTGAGATCGGTGCAATATCATTAAAATGATTTTTCTAGTCTTGATATCGCATTTGTACCACTCCACGTTGTAGAGAACATCTGCGACGGCGGCACTCTGCGCCGACAACCACCCATTCGCAGCCATTATACGTACATTTATAGACACCAGCATAGTTTCGAGTACATCAAAACGATAAGTAGATATAGAAGCATGTATGTATGTGTGTGTGAAGGATGTGTCCATATATGTAAAAATGAAGCAGACATGTGGTGGGTGAGCGGTGAGGGAAAATAGAGAGAGAGGGAGAGAAAAAAAGAGAATGCAGATTATTAAAGTATGTCAAATATAAGAAAGTTTTTTTTTTTGCTTTAGAGTATTTAATTTGATATCCTTTGAGTGATTTGAGTGGGAGAGAACGACAATGTTGTTGAGGGGAAATTGTGTTAGAGAGCCTTAAGTAATAGAGCATTAAGTAATAAAGAACCCCATATAAATTGTTTTAACCTTTAAAAACCTTTAAAAGGTTTCTAATACCAAAATGACCTTGAAAAGTTTAGACCTTTCCCTGAACCCTTAGAAGATCTTGAAGAACGAAAGTCCTTCGAAACACCTCCTATATATGACGGATAATAATAGGTATCCATAGAGGAAAATCAATATCTTAAACATGGAATATATTTTGAAGATCGTCTGCAGATTGAAGACCTTTTAAAGTTCATATAAAAATTGAAAGCCTTAGAAGTTAGATGATAGATAAAAGGAAGCGTTTTTTGTTGGGAATTTTGAGTAAAAAGTTTAGACTCAAAATTACAAATTTCTAATTTTTCCATAATTTTAGAATATTAGTGAGTTATGAAAATAGAGCTAACAACTTAAGAAGTATCAGTCGCTAAAATCTGACCTATATCCTTCAATTTATATGATGTATGTTATAATTTTTATACCCTACAACACTATGTGTTGGGGGTATTATAAGTTTGATTGGGCCAAAAATTATGTAACACCACGAAATATTGATTTCCCACATAGGAAAGTATATATGGATCTTCCTATCTCGGCGAGCTGAGTCGATCTAGCTATGTATGTCCGTCCGTCCGTCTGTCCATGTTAATTTGTAATCACTCTACAGGTCGCAATTATGGTCCGATCTTCACGAAATTTAAAATGGAGGTGGGGCTAGGGTCAGAATAGAACCCTATTTCTTTTGGTGACGATCGCATAATATTTAGGGGTTGAAATGGACCAAAAACTGAAAAAATTCCTGATTTTGCACTTGCTCTACAGGTCGCAATTATAGACCAATCGACGCGGAATTTCGCATGTTGCTAGAGTTTAGGGCGGGGAAGAAGCCTACCAATTTGGGTGGTCATCGGATAATATTTAGCGGGTAAAATAGACCATATCTTTTTTGTTGAAAAAATTAAAAAAATTTCATTAAACCGCGAATATTTTAAATCCCGGCGAAATCATAAAGCCATGACAAGGTTACTTCTGATCTTTACATTGATGTTAACATCTAACAAATCGGATATATAGCAAAATATGTGCGATATATATGTCTATCAAAGAAGATATGCTTGAAAGATCTCTTATATGTCGAGAACGGCTGAACTGATTTCGACAGTTCTCATTAATTCAGAATGGCCTCTTGGTAGGAAAGAAAAAACGTCTACAAAATCGCATAAAAATATCTCTCTAAACATGAAAATATTGATTTTGTAACATTTTCTCATATTTTTTCCATTTTGTCATATTTTTGGCATATTTTCATTTTGAATCAAACATTTGGGAATATTTCTACAGCTAACAAAACTAAGTAGTTAGGATATCAGGATATCATATACAGATCGCATTTATGGCCCGATCCTTACGAAATTTTGCATAGAGATAAGATGAGGGTCAGAATAAAAGCCAATTCTTTTTGGAGATGATCGCCATATATTTAGGGGTTGAAATGGACCAAAAAACTGCAAAATTGTCAGCTGGTCGTAATTATGGAGGTTACCGGACATTGAAAAAGCCAAGCAGTTTTGGATGGTCATCCAAAAATATTCAATGTGTGAAGGAGTTTGCCAACTTTTAAAGACAAAATACGAAAATGTCCATTCCAGTGACTTTTTGGAGAATTCACAAATACAGGAAAGCCGCACTTCTGACTATTTCGTTAACGCTGATTTCGTTGAAGAATAAAGTCAAATGGCTGTATCTCATATAGATGCGTTTCAATCAAAAAGCAATAATAAATGTTAATCTTTTGCCACTTCTTAGAGATTATAGGTCCTTGGGAAATATTGGTTCCAGATCTAGGAAGACCATTTACGTGCAACATCTACCAATAAATTGGAAATGAGCAAATTAGTTTAAGTTGCTATTATCCGAAAATTAGAGAACGAAACCTGATGATTTTCTTTTATTATTTGTCACAATATCATGTGGAATTCTTTCGAGTATCTCGCCTATATAAACTGTATTGTTTATTACAGTGTTGTAGGGTATTCAACGGTCGGCCCGCTCGACTGTAGCCTTTGCTTACTTGTTTTTTTTAAGATTTACCATGCCTTTACAACCTGATTTGCTCCGCAAATTTTGAGAGCTATAAATGTTGAAAATTTTCAATGCATATTTCGCATTTCATGAGAGTTATTTTTACGCAAAGTTTTAAGCCGATGTGAGGAAGGTACCATATGGAGTGGTCCGATATTTTCCAACTTTACATCTTGTATTGATAGAAATATTGGGATGTGCGAAATTTGAAGACGCATTTAATAAGAGTTTACATTTTTAAAAATTTCGACAATTTGTGGGAAGGTACTTTATGGATTCGACAAAAATATTGGGATTTGCAAAGTTTGAACAAAATCGGATAATAATTTAGTGCCAACCATGCTTTCCAAAATACTCCAGACACAATTGTCCAACGGATAGGTATCCGGAGATTTAGGTGGCCATTGTGCTTTGGAAATGAATCGAGGAACCTCATTTTGTATTTATTCTTGTTTGGCGCGTGCTGAGTGCGATGGTGCTGAGTTCAGTTAGAATGTCCAAGACCTACGGTCAAAATGTTTGCGTGCCCAAGGCTTTAATACACCCTCGAGAATATTTTCGCGATAATATTCGGAATTTATTGTGATGCCACGGTCGATTAATACGAGCGGAGAGCGGCCATCGGCTGTTATGGCGGCCCACACCATCACCATGGCCGGCGCTTGAGTTCTTTTTTTCTGGTGGCCAACCGAAGGTACACATTTTCAGCTGACCTCATTGGCAAGTAAATTATTTTGTTTGTTTACAAACTGCTGGACAACGAATGTTTTCTCATCGGAGAAAACCAAATTCGGCAGTTCATCACTTTCGGCCAAGCGAAGCAACTCTTTAGGTCTTTTGAGTCTATTTTCTTTCAGTTGCGGTGTAAGTTCTTGCACTTTTTGGAATTTCAATGGTTTTACCCAGGGCTCATCTTTAGTTTATTATTTATTATATTTGCCGAAAGGAATATTGCGATATGTTCAGCTCACGAGCCATTTTTCGGCCACTGTGACGAGAGTTTCGCTTCTTTACTTTTCAAACCATTTCAGCTGATGTTGCTTTTTTCTTCCGTCCACTTCAATGACGTCGGGCTACGCTACCAGTATCGAGGAAACGAGCGATGGTACGAGACACAAAAGATTTATTCACATGAAAATGCTTGTGTTCTCTTACGATAGCCACTTGTGGTTTTGCAGCCAAATCTAAAGAAATCACACTATCACGCCTGAATTCCATCACGAATAACATTTTTTCCGGAAAATTCTCTCCAAAATGCTTTTGTACGTTTGTAAACAATGTAATGAGGTGTCACTGGAATAATTTTAACAGCTGTCGGAAGTCTGAATTAGGTTGAATTTTTTTCTTCTCACCCTGTATATGTTTTTTACAGATGGAAATCCTGCAAAAGATCTGATACAGAAGACCTGGCCTTATAAAAAAGGTTTTCTGAATATTCCCTTAAAGATGGAGGACCTTCACAAGGTTTTCTACAGTGAAAATAACTTCTATAGCTCTTGAATAAATGGGAAACCTTTTGAATATCTCCAATAGATGTAAGAATAAGTTCTGCAGGTCTTCTATAACAAAAAAATCTTTTATACATTTTTAAAAATTGAAGGCCTTTCCATCTTTTATGGTTCTTCGATTTATGAAAAGAATTTCAGAAGATTCTCTTCTATAGAAAGACTTCCAAAGTATTACCCTTTATAGAGCGCCTTAAAATGTCTTCCGTATTATTACGATGAAAGACTATGGGTAAAGATCGATCGATAAAAATGGTAGATCTTCTGTATGCCTCTTAAAGATAGAAAGCATCAAGTCCATTGTAGGGTTTGTAATAAATATAAGATGTTCTGGGTAAGTTCGAAGCCCTTCTATAATAAAATATTCTTTATACATTTTTAAAAAGTAAAGACCTCCAAAAGTTATTCTTTGTCTTCTTTTTTAGACACAGGCAACATTTAAACTGTCTTCCCTGAAGCAATATCGGTCCCCTCCTTCTGGCACCTCCTTCAGAAGGTCGAAATTTTCAAAAAAATCTATATTTTACTGCATAGAAAGAGAAATTATGATCCGATTTTGCTTCAACTTTGCAAGTCCAAATATTGGCATCACCTGACCTGACAGGGTCGATTCCATCCAGTCCATCTAATTTTGAATAATTATACCTCTTATAAAATGTAATGAAAGAGTCTGAATGTCTTCAAATTTCACGCATGACAATATCTTATATAATATATAATATCTTATATAATATATAATCCAAGGTCTGGTAGGAAGATATATCGGTCCACTCCTTCTGGTACCTCACCGACAAAGGCTTAGAATTTTTAATAACATTAAAAATGTGCAGTAAGCATCTATTTCCATCAAATTTTACACATCCCAATATTTTTACTAACCTAGGGTCTGGTGTGATGATGTTAGATATCGGTCCACCCCTTTCGGTATCTCCCCCACAAAAGGGTCACAGTTTTCAACATTTATTTCTTTTATAGTTTACGAAAAAAGTCAGCGATTTCTATAAAACTTGGTAACCTGAGATCAAATATGAATATAGAATTCATCGACTCACTCCTTCTGTTACCTCCCCACAACATTTTTACATTTTGATTAATTATTCGCATAAACTTGAAAATGGATTTTAGATGCTCATCCCAATATTTGTTTTCAGTATTAGATGAAGTGGACCGAACCACTTTATTTCGTACCTCACACACATTTCTTAATTTTTGAAAATGATTCCATTTCTCATGTAAAGGGGAATGATGTAGTCGATATAGTCTAGTACACTGATATCACATATAGGTCAGATACGAAATGGACACCATTGACCCACTCCTTTGGAACCTCCCCCATAAAGGGTCAAGAGTTTGGATACTCATAACACAAGTCAAAATATATTTATATAAACGAGGCATCGTTCGGCAAAACCGGCAGATACTTTTTAACTTGTTAAATACTAAAAGTCTCCAAAAGTTCTTCTGCAGACCTTCTGATATTCTTCAACACTTTAAAAGAGTTTTCGAAGTGTCTTCCATCTACAGTAAACCATCTGAAGTTGTACCCTTTATAAAAGTCTTTGAAAGGTCTTCAAAATTTTAAAGGTCTCTAAATATCCCTCCTTTTTAGACAATGGAAACCTTCGGAATGTCTTCCATTTACAGTAAATCATCCGAAGTTGTACCCTTTATAAAAGCCTTTAAAAGGTCTTCAAAATTTTAAAGGTCTTAAAATAGCCTTCCTTTTTAGACAATGAAGACCTTCGAAATGTCTTCCATTCCTTACATAATATTTGTCCTTTTTTCTTTCGTAAAATATCCTTGCGTTTTCCAGTTAATAACAAACATTAATAAATAGTTGCAAATACTCACACTATCACTGACAAAGGTGCCGCCAACACAATACACAAACAACTGGGCAAATGCTGCAATATTGTACGAAATATAGATAAATAGGCCCACCGAATTGGTATTCTGTAAAAGAAGAAAAAAAAGAGAAACGAAAACAACAAAAAATAAATTAAAAACACTGCACAAACGAAATGAGAAAAATTTGTTATTTCTGATAATGTTAACAATGTCCTTGCTAAACAAAAACTACACTCTTGTTTATTATCCTTCGAAAAAATTTTATTCTTTGCAGTGGTTCATGGTTTCCTTGGAAGTGATGGAGAACGTGGGGAAGGGCATAATTAATGCACCGAATTAAGTTAACTGCAAGGCCATTGGTTCTGGCCAAACAGTTTTGTCACCAATGTTAATTTTGGCTTTACACCACAATCCTTTCACAGGAGAAAGTAGATGGCGATGAATAGGAAAGGAAAGGACATTTAAATATTAAAATTATCTGGGTGGTTGGAGGACAGGTATTGTGTATAGATGCTATGGTCTTTCGAGTGATATAACAATAACACATTATGTTATTGCATAAATAACTATCGTCCTTCCTTAAAATATAGATGTTCGTTCAAGATGAAATAAAGTTTCGTTTTTTAGTAGTTTCCATAATTATAATTTGCTACATTAATATAAGTCTTGTTAGGTGTATGGGAATGTGTGAAGTGTAATATAATGGATATGGGACAATTCCAAGTTTTTCATTTACAATGGCGAATTTGGACATTTCAGATGCGAATTCAGAGATTTGAAATCGTTAAAATTATAAAAGTAAGCACAAGAAGAAGAGGTGAAAATATTTATAAAAGGGGATTCGAGTAGAGATGATGAGGATAATAAATAAATGTTTTTTTAAATTAATTTTTTTTTTTAACTCTACAGCAGTAGTGCGGTTATTTCCAAGGACCTTCTGACAAATATTTTTCTAACTTCTCCTTCTAACTATTACCTTGACTACTACCTAGACCTGATGACTATTTTCCAATGGAACTTCCGACCAAAACTCTTTAATCAAAAAAAAAAAAAAAAAAAAAAAAACAGGTGAACTGATGAGGATTGGTGGCTCTTTCCGAAACCTAAAACCACAAATACATAAACTTTGTTTTATAAAAAACAACAATAATGGGATTAAGGCAAACTATTTGGCAGCAAAAAAAAAAAAAACTAGTTAAAAAGCATCAGTCGGTTTTTTACGGACGGATGTATACCCTCAGCTATTGTCCTTTTATGCAAACATATTTTGGCATCCGTATTTATTATCCAATATGTTGAGCCATAATGGGGGAGTTTCTGAAGCAGTTGGGCAATATTGTCCAACTTCTCTCTGATATAAATATTTAAACGTGCCATATTTGGACCATAGCCTCACTTGATATGAGATATGTAATAATTTTTAGAAAATGTTGAAATGTGCGTGGGATGCCAAATATAGTGGATCGAAGTGTTCCACTTCATCTAATGCTAATAAAAATATTGGGACCTGCAAAATTTAAAGAAAAAAGTTAAAAATATATCTCGGTTTAGCCGACAGGTCAAAATTTCGACCTTTTGTGGGGAGGTACCAGAAGGAGTGGACCGATATATTCCATCTTAACACCAGATCTTGGATTTATAAAAATATTGGGATGTGTGATATTTTAAAAAAATCGGATGCTTTCATCACGTTTTATAAGAGTTTTAATTATTCCAAATTTTGACCCTTTGTGGGGGAGGTACTTGATGGAGTGAACCGATATAGTCCATTTTCGCCCCTGACTTAACACTGATGAACATATTAGGATTTGCAAAGTTGGAACAAAATCGGATTATCCTTTCTGTGCAATAAATATTTTCTGTGCAGAAAATATATTTTTGAAAATTTCGATCTTTTGTGGGGGAGGTACCAGAAGTAGTGGATCGATATATTCCATCTTAACACCAAATCTTGGGTTCACAAAAATTTTAGGATGTGTGAAATTTGAAGACAATCGGACTCTTACATCACATTTTATAAGGGCTGTAATTATTCAAAATGTTGAACGTTTGTGGCGGAGGTACTTCATGGAGTGGACCGATATAGTCCATTTTCGCTCCTGATCTATCACTGATGAAAATATTAGGATTCGCAAAGTTGGAGCAAAATCGGATTATTATTATTATCTTTCTGTGCAATAAATATTTTTTTTTTTTTAAATTTCGACCTTTTGTGGGGGAGTTACCAGAAGGAGTGGACCGATACATTCCATCTTAATACCAAATCTTGGGTTAACAAAAATATTAGGATGTGTGAAATTTGCAGAGCATCGGACTCTTACATCACGTTTTATAAGAGTTTTAATTATTCGAAATTGTCACCTTTGTGGGGGAGTACTTGATGGAGTGGACCGATATAGTTCATTTTCGCCCCTGACCTAGCGCTGATGAAAATATTAGGATTTGCAAAGTTAGAGCAAAATCGGATTATCCTTGTCTTTCTGTGCAAAAAATTATTCTCTTTGAAAATTTTGACATTTTGTGTGGAAGGTACCAGAAGGAGTGAACCGATATTGCCCATCTCAGAACTCGATCTAAGTTTGACAGTAATATTACGATATACCAACTTTGGATCAAATCGGATACTCCCTTCGGGAGTTATCGTTCGCACCAGCTAGACAGACAGACAGACGGACGGGCATCGCTAGATCGACTCCAAATGTCCTGAAACGGATTTGGTCCAAATAGACCTAGGGTTTAAAAACGTTATTTCAATGAAGAACGTTTTGGCCGTATCAAATGATATATACCCTCTGTAGCCATATGACTGAGGGTATAAATGGTATAAAATGAAATGAATGCGCAATACGATGTTTTATGGCCATCTTTCATGTCTAAAATTGGCATCTAGCTTTAAAATCTAGGACCCACAAACAAAAGTGACTGACAAAGCGTTATGGGCCTCATTTCCAAAACGTGGACCTACTTCTTTTATATGACAATAATCCGTCCAATAAGACCTCAAAATGCAGAATTCAAGGTGCATAAATAGTAGAACGAATTGAACATTTAGTAAGAAAAGGGTTTATATTCTTCCAGAAATTCTTCCTAAATTTTCAAGATACCTTAAATCATAATATGGGTCATAACCCCTCATATGATTTAAGCTATCTTGGCCACTTTTTTTCATTTTTTTGGCCCTTATTTGACATCTTTGTTTCCAAGGGCGTAGAAAACCTCTTTGCATACAATTTTCAATATTCGCAGTATGGTCCATCTTGGTCTTGGCCACTGGCTAAAAACTGGTATTTAGGCTACTCTGGGGTAGAGAACCATCTTACAGATAATTTTCCACATAGGAATTTATTTAAGTATAGTCCCCACATTATTATACCCCCAAGCCCACTTTTCCAATCAATGTGTGGTCAGAGAAGAAATTTTGTATTCTATTGAATTTGTAACCCCCAAGTATATTGGTTGCGAAGGTAGATTTGGGATGTATCTCTATGAAATATATTCCGAAATATCAAACTGGGACTCATTCAGTCGGAAATTGTTTCAGAAACATGAAACAAAATTAAGAATATTAGAAAGAAGCACTGGAATTATACTATGATGAAAATATGGAATCTATGGGGTCTCCAACGCACAATTTTTAGTGACAAAAAATTAATTCCATTCTTACGGTAAGGGAAATAAAAGAGCTACTACCTTTGAGTATTTTGAAATCATTCTGCACTCAATTATCACCACGCAGCACGGCATTCTAAACGTTGGAAATACAAATTCTAAATTACAGCTACTTTGAATGGAAAATGTTGCTAAGCTCTTTACAATACCAAAAATTGAGCTGAGTTTCCATATGGGGCTATAATAGATCATATAGATTTGTTACACTGGAATCATTACTTATAATAAAAATCGTCCCGCTCACATACGTCAGATCTGTGATTTATTATGCTTTAAACATATGCATTAAAAACTGAAAGTACGGGCCGGCAACGCGGACCGGGCCAGCTAGTCTTTAATATGTATGAATTACTGGCGTTTAGGTAAAATTTAGACTTTTGAAGTCTTCAGGGACCTATAGTAGAATTTTATGGCAAATAACTGACTGACTTGCTATGATCCCGTTTAAAGGGAGTTTTTAACCATATTTAAAAAAATATATATCAAAATGATCAATTTTCCGACTCGGTTGAGGTTAAAATTATCGACCAGAATATTTATCGTATTTTTATCTGTAATATTGCCGAGGACATTATATATCTAAAATGACCGGATTCCAAGAAATTTTAATCCTGAAATTTACAAAAGTGTTTAAAAGGGACGGGGTCTTGTCCCCTCTATTTAGGTTACTCTGCGATATAACCTCTAAAGACACCGATACACCTGTCTTCTACTTTAAGCCCTACATTCATAATCTTCTAGGTTCTTTTAGTAATTATAGAAAAACCCGAATTTTCCCGTACAGTGTAATTGATTTCAGTGGAAATTAATGTTTAATTATTTCAATTTTCTCATACCAATTATAATATTAATTAAACTCTCATTTTCCAAAAAATGAAAACATAATTTCTCCACAAATTTTCTAATGGAATTTTTCTTAAGAAAATCTCTTCATATTCCCTTGTTTACAACAACAACAAATTGCTCTTTGTTGTTGTTGTTGTTTTTACAAAACTTCTCAGCTTAATGCAATTTAATGTTAGTTTTATTGCAATTTCACTCTTTGTTCTTCTTCGGCAAAGAAATTATAGCTTATTTTTATCGCAGTTTTCAAAGCTTCTTAATAGCCCGTCGGCATGTTGGCTGGAGCGGATTCGATTGACGCAACAGAAGCAATCATTAAAAAAGTGTTTGGAAACGCGCTTAAGTAGGCGTCCTGGGCGCTCTCCCATCCCTCTCTCTCTCTCTCTCTCTCTCTCTCCCTCCCTCTCTCCCTCGCTCTTAGTCAATACATAAGAAATGGGATTAAAAAGTTAAAGTAATTTAAGTTGCGTGTTTTCATCATTCATCGTTTTAACTTTCAACGGCAGCAGCAACAGCAACAGTTTGAGGATTTTGGAGGAGGGGGAGGAGGACTGCAGCCAGAATGAAAACTTGCTGAAAATGCCATAATAAAGAAAACATAAAACAAGAGTAGAACACACGCAACAACAAGACGAAAAAAGAATGAAAAATAATTAGGGCAATCGTCGAAGACTTTGTGTTCGGTGGTACACTCTCTGGGCCAACTTTGGTTCGAAGTGCAACGAAGGGATAAGACAAACAGAAAAAAAACCTGTGGACAGGGGAAAAGTGCGAAAGAAAAACACTTTATGGCTAAATAAATAATGGTATGATGGCTTGGGGTTGTGTGTGTGTGTGCGGGTTTATCTCGAAGGCACCTAGCTTGCATGGGTTAGCTGGGAAAATAGTTGGAGAATAAAGTATGGAATTTATACACTCGAAGAAAAAATACAATTCACTGCACTACATTTTTGGGCTACAAAAAAGGATGAAGCCACCAAAAAAAAAAAAAAAAAAAAAAAATGGAGGCCACTAACAAGCTGTTAACTTGGGGTGTGTTTTGGCTTCAGAACCTTCAATAAATATTATTATACCCTCCACCACAGTATGGAGGATATATTAAGTCTGCCATTCCGTTTATTACACCTCGAAATATACATTTTACACCCCACAAACTATATATATTTTTGATCAGCATAAAATTCTATGTCGATTTAGCGATGTCCGTCCGTCTATTCGTCTGTGGAAATCACTCTAGCTTTCGAACGAAATGAAGTAGGTTGATATAATTTTACTCAAATGTGTATTATGTCTGCAGGACTTTTGGTATAGAAAATGGGCCATGTAGGTCCACGTTTTGGTATAGTCCCTATATAACGGTGCCTCCCGGTATTCGGAATTTTGATTATTTTAGCGACATTTTCACTAGAATTGTTTCAAATTTGATATTTGAAGTTCGTAAGTGATACTAAAACCTATGACAGAAAATTGCTCGTGCAGGTCCACGTCTTCGTATAGCCCCCAAATAATAGTACCTGCCGATATTCGGTACTTTGACGATTTTAGCGAGATTTTTCACCGGAATTGTTTCAAATTTGTTATTTGAAATTTGACAGAAAATTTGCTGTGCAGGTCCACTTCTTCGTATAGCCCCCATATAACCTCCCGATATTCGGTATTTTGATGATTTTAGCGACATTTGTCACTAGAATGGTTTCAAATTTGATATTTGAGGTTCGTAATGGATACTATAGCCTACGACAGAAAATTGTCTGGGCAGGTCTACGTCTTCGTATAGCCTTCTTATAACGGTACCTCCCGATATTCGGTATTTGATGATTTTAGCGACATTATTCACCGGAATTATTTCAAATTTGGTATTTGAAGTTCGTAATGGATACTACAGCCTATGACAGAAAATTGTCTGTACAGGTCCATGTCTTCGCATAGCTCCCATATAACCTTCAGATATTCTGTATTTTGATGATTTTAGCGACATTATTCACCGGAATTGTTTCAAATTTGGTATTTGAAGCTCGTAATGGATTCTACAGCCTAAAAAGAAAATTGTCTGGCGCAGGTCCACGTCTTCGTATAGGCTCCTTATAACGGCACCTCCCGATATTCGGTATTTTGATAATTTTAGCTACATTATACACCGATTTTTTCAAGTTTCGGATTTGAAGGAAGGGCTACTTCGACCTATAGACTCTAATATAACGGCTACATTCGGTATTTTTAAGATTTTAACGGAATTTTTAACTAAAAATTGCCAAAACTCGTTCCAAATGTTGGAGGATATTCAAAGTCCGGCCTGGCCGAACTTACAGCTTTTTTACTTGTTTTTAAATTATTATTTTTTTTTTAAATTATAAATTATTCACTGAGAGACCTACATCCGTTCTGTACTTTAATGCTTGGACCTGACAATATCGGATTACTGCAAATTTCTTTGTCTCTCCCAAAATGACCCCAAATAGACCCCAAACTGCAGTTGGAATAAGTCAACCGTTTTTCAAAGCTTTTCCGACACCGGAACCTATGAAGTGTCCTTGCAGCCTTTGCAGAATCAAGAAATCTCCTTTCATTGATTTAAAAAAAAAAAAAACTTGCAATTTCTATGCCATTGTTTAGCTGAGTCTATTGGCAACACATTTTTTTCTTGCCCTTAACTTACCAACATTAAATCCAAAAGACTGGAGCACACAACGATGGCTGCCGACATAAAATGCAACATTATGATAACGGTAAAACTTGCAGTAAAATCTGCACTCAAATCGATAATCGTATTATGACGTTCAACTATGGCATTCAATTTTTGGCGAATTCGATGATTTTGTTCGTCAGTAGCGTGTTCACCTTGGGAAGGGGAAGAAAGAGATAAAAAACAAACGGAAAGAGAAGAAGATATTACATCAGTGCAAAATTGGGTTACCATTGTTTTATGAAAGTGTACTGATTTGAAAGGACGAACGGGATATTGTTTTTTTAAAGAATATTTTTGAAAAGGACCAACAGAAGCGTGGATTTTTTAAAGAATATTTTTGAAAAGGACCAACAGAAGCGTGGTTTTTTTAAAGAATATTTTTTCAAGGACCAACAGAAGCGTGGATTTTTTAAAGAATATTTTTTCAAGGACCAACAGAAGCGTGGATTTTTTAAAGAATATTTTTTCAAGGACCAACAGAAGCGTGGATTTTTTAAATAATATTTTTGGAAAGGACCAACAGAAGCGTGGATTTTTTAAAGAATATTTTTGAAAAGGACCAACAGAAGCGTGGATTTTTTAAAGAATATTTTTTCAAGGACCAACAGAAGCGTGGATTTTTTAAAGAATATTTTTTCAAGGACCAACAGAAGCGTGGATTTTTTAAAGAATATTTTTGAAAAGGACCAACAGAAGCGTGGATTTTATTAAAGAATATTTTTGAAAAGGAACAACAGAAGCGTGGATTTTTTAAAGAATATTTTTGAAAAGGACCAACAGAAGCGTGGTTTTTTTAAAGAATATTTTTGAAAAGGACCAACAGAAGCGTGGATTTTTTAAAGAATATTTTTGAAAAGGACCAACAGAAGCGTGGATTTTTTAAAGAATATTTTTGAAAAGGACCAACAGAAGCGTGGATTTTTAAAGAATATTTTTGAAAAGGACCAACAGAAGCGTGGATTTTCTAAAGAATATTTTTTCAAAGACCAACAGAAGCGTGGATTTTTAAGAATATTTTTTGGAAAGGACTAACAGATGCGTTGATTTTTTAAAGAATATTTTTGAAAAGGACCAACAGATGCGTGGATTTTTTAAAGAATATTTTTGAAAAGGACCAACAGAAGCGTGGATTTTATTAAAGAATATTTTTGAAAAGGAACAACAGAAGCGCGGATTTTTTAAAGAATATTTTTGAAAAGGACCAACAGAAGCGTGGTTTTTTTAAAGAATATTTTTGAAAAGGACCAACAGAAGCGTGGATTTTTTAAAGAATATTTTGAAAAGGACCAACAGAAGCGTGGATTTTTTAAAGAATATTTTTGAAAAGGACCAACAGAAGCGTGGATTTTTTAAAGAATATTTTTGAAAAGGACCAACAGAAGCGTGGATTTTTTAAAGAATATTTTTTCAAGGACCAACAGAAGCGTGGATTTTTTAAAGAATATTTTTGAAAAGGACCAACAGAAGCGTGGATTTTTTAAAGAATATTTTTGAAAAGGACCAACAGAAGCGTGGTTTTTTTAAAGAATATTTTTAAAAGGACCAACAGAAGCGTGGATTTTTTAAGAATATTTTTGAAAAGGACCAACAGAAGCGTGGATTTTTTAAAGAATATTTTTGAAAAGGACCAACAGAAGCGTGGATTTTTTAAAGAATATTTTTTCAAGGACCAACAGAAGCGTGGATTTTTTAAAGAATATTTTTGAAAAGGACCAACAGAAGCGTGGATTTTATTAAAGAATATTTTTGAAAAGGAACAACAGAAGCGTGGATTTTTTAAAGAATATTTTTGAAAAGGACCAACAGAAGCGTGGTTTTTTTAAAGAATATTTTTGAAAAGGACCAACAGAAGCGTGGATTTTTTAAAGAATATTTTTGAAAAGGACCAACAGAAGCGTGGATTTTTTAAAGAATATTTTTGAAAAGGACCAACAGAAGCGTGGATTTTTTAAAGAATATTTTTGAAAAGGACCAACAGAAGCGTGGATTTTCTAAAGAATATTTTTTCAAAGACCAACAGAAGCGTGGATTTTTTAAGAATATTTTTTGGAAAGGACTAACAGATGCGTGGATTTTTTAAAGAATATTTTTGAAAAGGACCAACAGAAGCGTGGATTTTTTAAAGAATATTTTTGAAAAGGACCAACAGAAGCGTGGATTTTATTAAAGAATATTTTTGAAAAGGAACAACAGAAGCGCGGATTTTTTAAAGAATATTTTTGAAAAGGACCAACAGAAGCGTGGTTTTTTAAAGAATATTTTTGAAAAGGACCAACAGAAGCGTGGATTTTTTAAAGAATATTTTTGAAAAGGACCAACAGAAGCGTGGATTTTTTAAAGAATATTTTTGAAAAGGACCAACAGAAGCGTGGTTTTTTTAAAGAATATTTTTGAAAAGGACCAACAGAAGCGTGGATTTTTTAAAGAATATTTTTGAAAAGGACCAACAGAAGCGTGGATTTTTTAAAGAATATTTTTGAAAAGGACCAACAGAAGCGTGGATTTTTTAAAGAATATTTTTTAAAAGGGCCAACAGAAGCGTGGATTTTTTAAAGAATATTTTTGAAAAGGACCAACAGAAGCATGGATTTTTTAAAGAATATTTTTGAAAAGGACCAACAGAAGCATGGATTTTTTAAAGAATATTTTTGAAAAGGACCGACAGAAGCGAGGATTTTTTAAAGAATATTTTTGAAAAGGACCAACAGAAGCATGGATTTTTTAAAGAATATTTTTGAAAAGGACCAACAGAAGCATGGATTTTTTAAAGAATATTTTTGAAAAGGAAGAAGAAGAAGCGTGGATTTTTTAAAGAATATTTTTGAAAAGGAAGAAGAAGAAGCGTGGATTTTTTAAAGAATATTTTTGAAAAGGAAGAAGAAGAAGCGTGGATTTTTTAAAGAATATTTTTGAAAAGGAAGAAGAAGAAGCGTGGATTTTTTAAAGAATATTTTTGAAAAGGAAGAAGAAGAAGCGTGGATTTTTTAAAGAATATTTTTGAAAAGGAAGAAGAAGAAGCGTGGATTTTTTAAAGAATATTTTTTCAACGACCAACTGAAACATGGATTGTTTAAAGAATATTTTTTCAACGACCAACAGAAGCGTGGATTTTTTAAAGAATATTTTTTCAACGACCAACTGAAACGTGGATTTTTTAAAGAATATTTTTTCAACGACCAACTGAAACGTGGACTTTTTAAAGAATATTTTTTCAACGACCAACTGAAACGTGGATTGTTTAAAGAATATTTTTTCAACGACCAACTGAAACGTGGATTTTTAAAAGAATATTTTTTCAACGACCAACAGAAGCGTGGATTTTTTGAAGAATATTTTTTCAACGACCAACAGAAGCGTGGATTTTTTGAAGAATATTTTTGAAAAGGACCAACAGAAGCGCGGACTTTTTAAAGGATGTTTTTTCAATGACCAAGAGAAACGTTGATTTTTTAAAGAATATTTTTTCAAGGACCAAGAGAAACGTGGATTTTTTAAAGAATATTTTTTCAAGGGACCAACAGAAACGTGGATTTTTTAAAGAATATTTTTTCAAGGGACCAACAGAAACGTGGATTTTTTAAAGAATATTTTTTTTAAAGATCTAGAAAACGAGGATTTTTTAAAGAATATTTTTTTAAGAATTTAGAGAACGTGGATTTTTTAAAGAATATTTTTTTAAGAATTTAGAGAACGTGGATTTTTTAAAGAATATTTTTTGAAGGATCTAAAGAACGTGTTTTTTTTAAAAAATATTTTTTTCAAGGAGCGACAGAAGCGTGGATTTTTTAAAGAATACTTTTTGAAGGATCTAGAGAACGTGGATTTTTTAAAGAATATTTTTTGAAGGATCTAGAGAACGTGGATTTTTTAAAGAATATTTTTTGAAGGATCTAGAGAACGTGGATTTTTTAAAGAATATTTTTGAAGGATCTAGAGAACGTGGATTTTTTAAAGAATATTTTTGAAGGATCTAGAGAACGTGGATTTTTTAAAGAATATTTTTTGATGTTCTAGAGAACGTGGATTTTTTAAAGAATATTTTTTGATGTTCTAGAGAACGTGGATTTTTTAAAGAATATTTTTTGAATATTCTTTTGAAGAATATTTTAAAGAATATTTTTTGATGTTCTAGAGAACGTGGATTTTTTAAAGAATATTTTTTTATGGATCTAGAGAAAGTGGATTTTTTAAAGAACATTTTTTTAAGGATCTTGAGAACGTGGATTTTTTAAAGAATATTTTTTTATGGATCTAGAGAAAGTGGATTTTTTAAAGAACATTTTTTTAAGGATCTTGAGAACGTGGATTTTTTAAAGAATATTTTTTGATGTTCTAGAGAACGTGGATTTTTTAAAGAATATTTTTTGATGTTCTAGAGAACGTGGATTTTTTAAAGAATATTTTTTGATGGATCTAGAGAACGTGGATTTTTTAAAGAACATTTTTTTAAGGATCTAGAGAACGTGGATTTTTTAAAGAATATGTTGTAAATGTCAAAATAATACTTTATACATTTCTACTGTATGTGATTGTTTTATATTATAACATAGTAATCCTAGATTTTCTGTATGTTCAAGAAAATATTTTCATACATTTTATTGTCAGTCTCTTAATAAATTTTCATTCATCTACACATAAAAAGTTGGCGTTTACAATTGTATTCCTCGGAGTCATCAATTTACAATAGGTTATGGGCCCAGCACGCTTCCACTGCGCTGTATCAAAGGAATATTGAAAGGAATAAAATAATCTTGCAAAAATGAGTTATACAAATGTAAAAATTGAGCCGCTTGGTAAAGAGAATTTTGATACGTGGAAGATTCAGGTGGAGGCATTGTTAGTCAAGAATAATGCATGGAAATATGTGAATGGAAGTTTCCCAAAGCCGAGTTCGCCTCCGAACGAAGTTAACGAATGGATTATAGAAGATGGTAAAGCCAAATCTGATTTGATTTTGACAATTTTCCCTGCGGAACTGAAACAAATTAAGAATTGCAATACCTCAAAGGAAGTGTGGGACAAACTGCATAGCATATACCAGTCAAAAGGTCCTGCTCGGAAAGCGATGCTTCTCAAATCCTTGATTCTATTAAAAATGAAAAATGGGGAGGATATCAGAGACCATATAAGGAAGTTTTTTGACATTGTCGAT